TCTCTGTAGTGCAGTGAGACAAATAATGCATGATGTTTTTGTTTGGTTTTGGTTTTTGTTTCACAAGTCTACTGTCCTTAGGAAATCATCAATAAAAATGTTTATTTCAGAAACACAAATCTTCAGCATCTACCTCTAAGAAAAGAGGTTGTCAATTTAAAACAACTTTCATTGTTGGAATCCGTCTTCTACAGAATGAAGTTGCATTTATCAGTGGACATCACTTGTACAAAAGTCTTCTCTATATCCTTATTTCCTTATTTCAGTTGTCTTCCGTTTGATTTAGATAACAGGGTTTTCATGTTAGAATTTATGAAAGTAACTTTGTTGCCACAAACGGTACAATCTGTAGTAAAGCAAGGCAGGATACAAAGAACACAAAGTTACGACAGGATCGGAGATGAAMTCAGAAGTGGGATGAATAGTAGTAAATTATTGTACTGAAGAAAAAAGGAAATTATYTGAGCAAGATTATCCTAGCATTCAGTGTGTTCAAGGAAACAATGTAAATAGAAGAACATTAACAATCCATACTTCTGAAATGTAGGAAATGAAGGAAATGTTTAAGAGTTACTTCTAGAAGGTTTTTCCAGTTTAGAAAGGTATGTTAGGTACAGTGTTGGAAGTACTATGCARATTATAATCAAACATGGTTGTTACCAGTAGGAATTGTCCCATCAAATGCAGACACAAAGTATATGGTCCTCATGGTCRTTTACTGTTTCTCATTGAGCACGTCCACACAAGTCTGCTTTTTTATTTCTTTTTGTTGTTGCACACTCTGCTCTGCACTGGGCTGCAAGGATCTCCCTCTGCGCTTACACATACTCTGTATTTGTGAGCGGGCTTGAGATTGCATTGATTCATGAGCTGGGCTGAGCCCTCTGAGTCACAGACTTGTGCAGAGAAAAGAGGATGGTGTTCCTGAAAATGTGAACAGGGTCTATTTTGGGTAAGTCAGGAAGTTTACTGTTAATGAAGGAGGAACTCCCTCAAAGCCTGTCAGTAATCTCCCAATTAAAAACAGTAAATCAAATCCAGGGTGTAGTACTCTATCATGTGTCTTGAGGTTATTCTGTGAGATGTTTTSCCTACCAAGAAGGATGGCAGGGGAGGGATTATCTTCAGTGTCCCTTGCATTTGTTTTTTTGTGTAATTATGGGAAGTGCATTCAGTGTGCAAGGGTATCATTGCTGTCCTGCTGTTTTATCATTTCTTTATGAGATAATGTTGATTTGGGCAATGAAATGCAAATTTAGTTTTCAGTGCTCCTTTTTTTTCCGTTCAAAAGTTAAAATGCSTATTGTAGATAATAATGTTGCTGGTGGTTTTGAAACAGCCTTTGTCAACTAATTTGGCAATACATGGTTTTAAATGCTGTTCAATACAACTGCATGAGTTTTATGTTGGCCTACATGAATTAGTTTTAACCCACTATGCATGTTGTTCCTATTTTGTCTGTAATTTGATCAAGTAACCATAAAAACTTGGTACCAACAAAAAAAAAAAAAAAAAAAAAAAAAAAAAAAAAAAAAAAAAAAAAACCAAAAAAAACAAAAAAAAAAAGAAAAAAGTATGTGTCAAGAATATGTAATATGTAGTGTGCCTTCTGTGTTCTCATGGCAAATGGAACATGCAGTTATTGAAGTTGAGCAATTTTAATTCTATAGTCATAAAAGTATTCTAACACAGAGAGCTAACAAGTACTCCTAGGACTGCAGATGCTAATGGATTCTGTGTTTCAAGGGTATGTCTCTGTTTACCTATAAACAAATAGTTWGTACTGCTGCTGATAAAAGGGCTCAGGATTTTAACAAGTCTTGTTAAAATTAGCCTGCGTGTAGATTATAAACAGTTCCTTTTACTGAATGCTGGGGCTCAGACAGCAATAAAATACACGCAAGGATGGAAATGGTTTTCAGCTGGGACTCCAACAGCAGTAAAATACGTGCAAGAATGGAAATAGTTTGCAGCTAGCAAGCAAAATCCAACATAACAGCTAGGCCAGCACTAACGGAAGTTGTCTTTTTTATTGTTATCTCCTTAATTAATCTCGCTTTCCTGTGTAAACTGCTCACTATTGTGCAAAGAGAGGGTGTGTGTGTTAACTTTGGTGACATTGTGTTACTCTCATTAAGTAACACAGGTTTTTTCAGCATGACTGTACTTAAGACTTTTTCCCTCAAAGAGCATTAGCCAAAAGACATTTCACAAATAAAAACAAATCCTATTTCTCCTTAAGGTGTTGACAATAAATTTGCTGTCACAGTTAGTAAAAATACTTCATAGAAAAGGGCATGTAAGTTTTTAATATATTTAGTATGAAACAGTGATAAGGTGGGGAGACGGTTTTATGAAATCTTCTGTAGACAGTAACAGAAAATAGCTCTGATTATGCTGAGTTGGAGTAATGAATGAATAACGTGTAAAGTTTATCAAAACTGAAAGAACTCCTGATGTGAAATGAAGCCTCCTAAGAAAATTCTGTTCTGTCGCTGTTTTGCTCTGCTGTTGTCGCATGTCACGCATGAATGAAAATGCTGCATTCTCTGGGGAGCGGTAAAGCTTCTGTGTAGGTTGTTTATTTCCTTAATCCCTCCTTCTTCGTGATTTTCAATGTCAGATATAAAATGGAAAGCCTGTAAATATAGTGATTATCATACTGATTATCACCTGCATCAGGGAACGCCCCGGCTGGCCGCTGTAACCCAAGCAGTCTCCACATGTTACAGCCACTTAGATTTTAACCTGACTACTTTATTAGAGACATGAAGCTCAGTATGAGGTGCCCTAGGGCTGCACAGATGGGTTCTGCTTGTTTCCTGTTCTCACTGTTATTGTGAATAGATACTAAAAGGTTCTCATCGCTTTTATCTGGTTAATTTACTTTGAACTGTCCCTGGCAATCAGAGTCTGCCTCACATTTCTCAGCATTTTGTAAACACCAAAGTGTACAATCTAAATGTGTGTTTTGAGCTTTTTTTTTTTTTTTTTTTTTTTACTGGAAGGGCCTTAATTCTTAAAGGGATCTCATTCTGGGAGAGGCTAGTTTTTAGGGGACTATAGGCACAATCCTGACTGAAATAAGCTGCTCAGAAGTTGTTCTGAGGTTCAATGGATAGAAGAAAATTAAGATTGCTGTTGTTCTTTGGCATGTTCAGACAGCCTTTAGATTAGAGGTCAACTGCAGGAAAATCTGTGATTGTATGCTGGCTGCCATTATTCATGTAGCTGGGCAGCAGACCAGGCTAAAAGATAACGCTCCTTCAGGAGAATCTGAGGATGAGATACTTTTTAACAAATGTGGCCAGGTCTTCCTGAACACATGTGCTATGCGTGGGTGCCCCAGTACAGAAAATTAAGATGAATTCTCTCAAAGTCTCCCACACAAGAAAGCACCACTTCACTGTAACAGTTATCATCTCATGTGTTGATGTCCAGCTTCCTGGCCAGACAATAGTTTAACACAGATGTTAATGTCCTGCTGCATTGGGATTTTAAAGAAATCCCTTAGGACAGATCGGTGTAAGTTCCAATTTCAATTGCATGACCAAAAACCTGAGGTTAAAGAAGTTATTTGGTTGCGAGACATAATTTTTAGTCCATTTTCTTATTCTCTTTCCCCTTATCACTCCTTTATTTGTCTTATTTTGTTTTTATGTGTCACGGTCCCATTTGAGGCTTTCTTGATTGTGTTGCAGTTCATTGTAAGTGCTTCACTTCAGAATGGAAGCTTGCAGGCTCCTTTTTTCATACGAGCATAGGCTTTGTTAATCACATGCTGGTTTAGGAAAACACTGCATGATATCTTTGAACCCTACACTCCTTCTTGACAGCCAGGCTAGCAAATGTCATTGACTGTGTGATGTACAAGAAGGGATTCAATTGTAAGTAAATTGTCAAAGTGGCTAACCTTGCCCGCACCCAATTGTCAGGACCATGATTCAGTTTTTCTGTCAACATCAGCTAAGGGTAACCCGGTCAGCCTTATGTTTCTGCAGTGAAGCAGCCTGAGGAGTTGTGCTTTTTAGCTTATCACATTTTATTAACCTCAACTTACTGTTGTTATAATCAATTGTACCCACTTCAAATTCTTCTGTTGCCCCCAAATTGACAGATCGTGTWGGTCCACAACAATGTATTTTCTGAGGCACTAAAACCTCTCGTAGGGCACTGCACTAGTTTGCTACCGTGGTTATTTCTGTTTAGTTAGATCAACTCACCATTTTGGCTCGAGATTATCCCTCTATTAATATCACATGGCAAAGATGATCTGGAAGAATGCAAGTTAAAACATAAAGACTTCAAGGGTTTTCTGCAATATTTCCAATGTTAGGATAGAATGTGAGTAAGAGAAAAGCATTGCTTTTGTCTTCCCTGCCCTTGCTTTTATTTCAAAATAGATTTTAATCACACCAATTAATATAAATAAGACATGAGGACATTCTGATACCATGATGTTTCCTTTGTGTTTTTAATAAAAGAACATAGTGAAATTGCTTAAAGCAGTGATTAAGACATCAGAATATTTTTAAATGTACATCTGATTCTACCACAAGGGTTTGAACACATTTAGTGATCCTGGTTTTTTAATGCACTGTGGATGGCAAATGATTTTTTTAAAATGGCCTGATAATATGTGTTCCATGAAGTGCCATACATAAATGGAAATATGATATAATTTCAATTAAAAATATGTCTGAAGGATGTTTGTCTGGTTTTCTAGTCAAAGTCCTATTTCCAGAAGTAACTTTCCTCTCTTGGAAAAAAACATACTGTACCTTCTTTATTTGAACTTGTGAAATGTGTTGACATTGTGCTGTTGTTGGGCTTGAGGGAAGAGGGGGAAGCTTTTGGTGCGACTATCAGAATTGAACAACTGTATATGGCTATATTGAGATAATCGTGTAAAAGGAAAACTGGCTGAATGAGTTTCAAAATGTGTTATTTCTTCATTATCTGGCACTTTATAATTAACTGTTCTTTTTTTATTATTTCAGGAAGCTGCCACTTTTGCTAGAGAGCAAGGCTTTGAGGTGAGTTAACCCACAATTGCACACTAAACAGATCCTAAAGGTTTTTTTCTTGCTGATAATGAAGTTCTTTTGGACAATGATTGATGTGCTATTATACTCTCCAAGCCTCGCAGCGGTTGCCATGGAAACTTGGCAGTCGTCATGGTTTCTTTGTTCTGCCAGCTCAGTGTTATGACGCACTCTGCTAGGTCTGCACCCAACATCGCCTACAGATGTTATTTATTGAATTTTGAAAAGCCTCTTGGGAAGCCGAGAGGTTGGGCACGGTTTCAAGCTGCCTCTGCAGATATGGGACCTGTCAGTTTGTTCAGTTAAAAAGCTACCTCATTAGCTGCATTACACTCCAGAAGGATTCACTGCTAAAGCAGTGGTGAAGCAAGACTAAATAGTGAAATATAACACCGCTTAAATAACTTAAACCCTGCCATATGCGGATTATCATTATGCAAATGAATTTTAGAAAGGTTGTATATAAAATTGTTAGGTACTGATTAATGTAAACCATGCTTCTACAAACAGCTGCTTTTGGAAAAGRTAGTGTGGAAATTGTGTTTCAAAACATATTTGAGTTCGTGTTTTCCATCTGAGCTCTAAAAATGTCTGATCCTCTACTTTCATGAAGTAAATACTGTTGATTTTACAGTGATTTGCAGAGCTTTTGATTTCATCTTCTCAAGGTATTTATTTGACTAGTAATTCCCACTGGCTACGTTCAGATAGCTTAATCTGGAGAGCCATCAGCTATTGGTCTCTAACACAGAATTCAAACAGGCAGGTTTTAAATACTATAATTAATGTGACAAGGCTTGTGCTAATTTTGCAGATAGTAAGTGATCTTACTGAAATCTAAATTGCAGAACTGAACACATGTAAATCTTTTTACATRTTGTTTTTTCCACTGGAATAAGACCCACCTTAATTGACTTGTTTGCAGTGTAAAAGAATAGAGAGGAGTTTGACTGCTCAACACCCATTCTGCATAAATAATAGAAGCCGCGCAATTCAAACCACATCACTTTAAGAATGTGCCWCTTCTGTGTGTGGATGGTTGCATATAAAAAAAGAGGGAGAGAATGACAGCTTTTGTTCTACAATTTAGATTTCTTTAGAGCCATACACCAGCAGGTACATCAATGCCATCACTGTTTTAGCTATTAAAACTGTGGGCTGTCCCATTTCATTTTATGTTTCCCAAATTCATGTGGCTGCTTTGTAGAAATCAAGACTTTTTATCACTGTCAATTTTCATTTGTATAATCCGTATTGTTAAGCATAAAAMTACACTTTGAGTTTATGCTAACGAATGAATTTCACAGATGCCTCCAAAATATGAAGCATAAGAGATTATTGGTACCCTCTGGTAGCTAGACAATAAAAAGAAAGGAAGTAGTGTATTAAGTCTACCCAGTCTATATTTTTATTGCCCCCTTGAGCTAAAGACTTTGAATGTGCCTGGTTTAAATTCAGCTCTAGTGACAAACTGCTTTTGCTGGTGTCTGCTAACTACCATCATATTAACCTTTCCATTAGTGCTTGCTTAGAGATTTTAGCACAGTTCCTCCTGAACATCCTAAATCTGCCACATTTGATTACAGCATATCAGTAAAGTGCACAATGATTATGATCTTATCTCTTATTACTCCCTTGCTTGGCAACGACTCACATGTCAAGTTTGCTGACAGAGATGAGWAAAACTTGATAAGTGCCCACAGTTTTGTTTTCCTATTGTGCTGTGGAGGCAAAAAAAAATTTAAAATCACTGATAATAAAATACCTTACAAAAAACTCAAAGTCCTTCAATTAGTCTTTCAATTAAACCAGGAAACATTTCCAGTAACTCTCAAAAGCTTGATTTTTATATTGGGAATAGAAAACTGGTAAAACATGGCAAATTAAAAGAAGGGACTTGATTGACCAGGGCAGAAATAAAGAGGATGCTTCTCCTAGAAGTGATTAAAAGTTGCTGGTGGTTGCAGTTGAATTGCCACCTGGAAAGACTTTCAGTTGTTAATCAGAAATTTTTTAGCATAGGAAATCAGTTGTGACTAGCTTGTTTGTTTGTTTGTGTTTTTTTTTTTTTGTTCTACCTCACAGTAATTTTAACACTTTTGTGTACTAACTTCATCTGTTAAATATGGAATGAGTTAAATATATATGAAAGGTTTTCAAAATAGAGAAGTTACAGTTAAGAGAACTTCAGAAAAATATACAACTTTTCTGAAGAGATAAAACCTTTTTATGGAAATCTCCATGACACAAAACTGGTTTTTTYTTTATAAGAGAAATTCCATTCAAATTTTTAATTTTTATGCTTCACCATTCCCACGGTTAGTTTTCCACTGTATTTTGCTGAAATATAAGGTATTTTCATTGAATCAATCACGATATTTGAAGACCATAGATTTCTTCACTTTATCATTTTATTATATTTATTTTAACATCTATCTGTAATAATCAAAAGTAGAATATTATTTCTAATGTTGTCTCTTCCTAGAGAGCATCACTGTCKGGTTGGGGTTTTTTGTAAATTTCATGTTCTGTGACATTTTAAAACTATATGTATACCGTATATATGCATATATATATATATATATACACACACACATACTACCTATATACATGCACACTACATATATATATGTATATATATATACTGTATATTTTAACAATGTTTCTAATAATTTTCAAATAACAAAGGTTTTGGAGGTTTTATTTTTACAAACAGATAACTTCCTGTTTCTTCTTTGTACAGAGAAAACAAAATACTAATTTAATATAAAATTTAGGGTTCAATTCTGTCTGTCAACCCGAGGTAAATTTAAATGAATGGAACAGTAAAGGTCTAAGGGGTTAGTAGCAGCTGCCATGCAAAATAACTTTTYTTGGTAGAGGTCTCTTCTAAGTACATGTTCATTGGGGAATCATATTAGAGCAAGTTTTGTTACCCTGRACCAGATTTAGGTCTTCAAGTTAACGAGGTACACTGCACAAGTCTGCTGTTTTCAGTGGATTTATGCCYGTTCAGGTCAGAGCTATGATAGTCCCACTACTGGGTATCTGTTCAGAAGCAGGAATCAGAATACATGGTTTGGATCTAGCTGGATGCAGTTTTTCACGTGCTTTTCATATGTCTYATCCTGGGATATCTGATGTGCTTTCTTCACATGCATATATCCTGCTTATTAGGTGCAGCATCAACAGGCAGCTCATGCTTTAGTGAGGTTTATATGTCAGCTTTGTTAAATCAGATGGAAGGGTCTAACAGGCTGTGTGGGAATACCCTGTGAGTTTGGGGCGTGTGTAGGGGCTTTAGGACTGCAGAGCAGTGCAGTTGTATCATTCAGCCATGTCTGTAGGCACAGGACATAGAAGAAAGGCTCAGTGAGTGGGCAGGTGCAGCAAGTCACTGCTAAACAGGTATTATACATTTTGGCTTTTATTCTGAACAGAAATAGGAGATGACATCATTTCATGGTGTTTGCCTGACAATGAAATAAGGTACAGGGTACCTCTGCAGTCATAAACTGTAAATAACTCACATGTTTTAAAATGTCCTAGTTGTACCATCAAAACACTGACACTGAAGTTCTATTTTATTCATTTTCTTTGAAAAAAAAATATAGAGGAAGTAATTTTGGCTAAAAATGATCAAGTTAATTTCCACAGAAGACACTGTCTGTGAAGTCAGACAGAAGTCTCCAAACCAGTCTGTCTCAAAATTTTGACTTCTTAAAAAAAATTACCCTTTCGCCCTAAATACTTTCCTTCTACTGTTACATGCTTATTATAGATTTAATTCTTCCTGTAAACATATGTGCTTTTTACTTTCTTTCCCTGTCTACTTTATTTCATCCTTTACCATCATTCTTCACTAATCTCTTTCCTCAGGGTCCTCTTTTCTTCTAAGTTAATCTTYATTCTTCCTTAAGCTGAAGAAATCATCTCTTGATCATGCCATTTTCTCCTATTATAACTTCATCATTTTCCTTTTTAAATTCATTGCGCATGTAAATATATTGTACAAATATCTTCAAGCTCTTTGATTCTGTGCCTGCTTTACTCCACTGAAATTGTGCCTAATAAAGTCACCAGTAGCCACTTCCTACTTAGCAAAAAACTAAACACCTCTCCCCTGTTTCCTTTGATCTTCACCATGCTTTATTGCAGTTTCTGGTTTGTAGATCTCTTAATTACCAAGGCCTGAAGTAGTTCAGAATTTAGGTTAACCCTTGTATGGTAAGCCTGCGTATTACCAAACTGGAGGGCTGTATTCTCCATCCATGCCATATTTGACAACCTATTCTGCCAGCTGATACCTCCTGTTCATAAACTTCTCAAAAAAATATTTCAAAGCAGAAGAGCAGCAATTTCAATTTTTTTTCTCTGGCATCTTTAAGGGACTCGTTACCTTACCTTCTGAGAATTAGTGGAAAGATGGCCCCTGTTACTGTCCTCAGTTCTTCTCTGGTAGCAGACATTGCCTTCTAAAAGATTTATTAACTGTCTAAGCAGGACAAAGGAAGAAATCACACAAGTGAGCGTATTCTATATTGAAATGAAAAATATGAGAGTATTTTAAAAATAAGTAAAGAGACCAATAAATGAGGGGAAACTATTTTCATGTTTGTCAAATGAGTATAAATCAGTGCGTTCACTGACTAGCCGAGTTAGGGAAGAAATTAGAGGGAGGCTATGAGTGTTGCAGAAAAGTTGCAGATAATTTTCACATGAAGGGGTGCTGGTAAATATATAACCCAGGCATATTCTGTGTCTGTAATAATAAYAGTGTTAAAAAACTAGTTTGGATAACAAACAGTACACAAAGCAATGCAGAAAATAGTATTATGTTTTCATATATTTAAGGCTAGGCACTCCTTGTGCCTTGTACAAAGAGGAAACAGGGACAAAAATACCGTAGTATTTAACACAGATACGAACAAAGTGGGGACCTGGTAGATAGCACAGAGAATAATTACAATCATACTTACTTTTCCTAACACTGGGAAAAAAAATACAAATTATGGCAAGAAATAGATTACATATACCAAAGTTAATTTGTAGAACTTACTGACTTAAGAGAAATCTGTGAACAAAAGTTTCCCATGTAGCATTATAAAAGGGTTTGATGCTAATACAAATAACAGAAATACCTATTATAGATTAGATGGAAAACTAAGTCAATTAGAAATTGAAACCCTTATGTTTCAGATCATAGGGCGACTGTGAAAATAGAAACGGTAATATTCTAATGACAGGTTGCATTGTTAGAGTTTGCTGTGTTAATTTAAACATTCCAAACTTGTTGGTGTCAAAGACACTGCATGAGTGAGAGSTTTGGTTCAGTATGCCAGTTCCTCTGTGGCTAGCTACATGCACAGTGAAGTACCACATCCATTTAAAATAAATATCGGTGAAACTTTTGCAGTTTAACCTTAATTCAGAAAATTGATGGTGTTTTGTGCCCCACTGCATATATTTTCCTTGCTTCACTTCCTTGCATCTCACCTCTGCAACCAACTAGTGGGAMCTGGGCTGCACACCCTCTCAGGTGCTGCAGTGAGCAGTTTGCTTGAAGGAACCAGTTCCTGTAGAGAAGTTAGAGAAAGTATTTGTAATCCTGCTGAAGTCAGAGGTATTATAATAGGATAAAACTGGCTAAATTGGATGAAAATTGGGCTCCGAGTTTATCCAAAGTATTCTCATACCAATTTTATTTTTAATTTTTTGATAGGAATGGTTAGAATCCAGTCAGCAGCAAAGAAACCCACTAATTGCTCATTACGAAATGCTATGTAATTCCTTTGTTAGCTTTGCAGTTTTGCAGTGGTTGGAATAGCTGAACTATCATTATCAAGATTAAAAAAAATGCTCTCATAGTACCACATAAACCCTTTGGAGAATGAAGTATTCCTCCTTTTAAAAGTCTTCCTCTACTGACGGTAAAGTCTCTTTTATACCTGGCTGTAAGAAAATAAATCTTTGATCTGCTAATAAAGTTCTCACCACTCTAGTATGCTGTAATAAGAATTTCCTTTCTCTCTGTTAATAGACTGAAGACATTAAAGAGATAGCCCGGAAGACACAAGCCCTGCCGAAGGTGAACACTAAAAGGCAGCGAATCGTAGTCTTTACCCAGGGCAAAGAGGACACTATATTGGCTACAGGTATGTTTTTGGAATCTCCATTTTCACTCACTGTAAATATTCCAACTAATCGATCACAAGTTGTGGTTTTACAAATTTAACTCTTAAATGGTAGTCATAGCGTTTGTCTTTTGATGTTACTCTATGTTTTTCATCTTTGATGATTTTAATTGTTTCAAGAATCTGAATTTAAGAAGTTACAGTTTCACAAGAATGCCTGAGAATTTAGTTCTGAACATTTTTATAAGATAGATCTAAAATATTGATCCAGTTGGTTTTGCTCAGATTTTTATGACTTGAGATTTTATCTGTGTAGCCATCTTTGCTGCAAACAAGAATACACTGTGCCTGCTGAGAACAGCTGTGCAACAGTGTAGTATATTTAAACATTTGCGAAGAGGAGGAAGTGAAATCCTGTACTAAGTGAATTTCCAGGCTTTTTTGCTTTGAGCAGAAAGTCTCACTTTAGCTTTTCTCAGCCGTCTGCTCTTCAACTCTCAAAGGAGTACGTGGGAAAAAGGTGTTCTAGCRGGGATACAAGTAGTTGCTGCTGTCTAAATTGATGATGTACGACGCGCAGATTTAAGCATTATAAACATGACTGCCTGCCTTTTGACAGTCTCTTTAATTCTGTCCACCTATGCTTCTAGACTAAATAAAACTATTAAAAACATGTGCTGCGCCGAGCCATTTTAGTAGTTCATTGCTTCACAAGGTAAGTTATTAGTCTGGGCCAAATTCCTCCTTTCAAAATCAAGTGAAATAGAGGAAGCTTTGCACCTGAGGGACTGGTGCTTACTCATACAATATTTTCCTCAAAATCAGAATTGGCTTCAGACTGTGGCTTCAAGGCTAGGCACTAAGCAGGTATGTCACTGCTATATAGATCATTCCTAGCAGCAGTTTGAATGATTTCTCCAATAGTTTGCTGCTTCCCCTATTTTGTTAGCTACAAACTGTTTTAAAGGAAATAGAAAGCAGTCATTGAGAGTTGGGTATGTGTATCTCACTGAATGATGATGGAAGTGTTCCTTTCAGAAAGTTACTGCCTAATATGAATGGGCCATGTGGAGGCACTCCACTTGAGTATTATGCATTGACTGAAAAACAGCAGTATAAAAATGTTTTTACACATCAGCTAGTAACAATGTAGTAAACCTAGATCTTATATGTAACCCTCCTGTGCTTTTATTTAATTTTCACTGAGTACTTTTTTTATTCTTCAAACTGGAGTTGTTAACAAATCCATTAATCCCTTCTTTGATATTTTTACAACCGGGAGCTTATTTGAGGACTGACACTTGCTAATCTTAGCTGTTTGTTCGCTATGAAATGAACTTAAATTAGAGAATGCACTTTATATGCATGATAAATGTGAGATGGATAGAGACTGTATGCAATGGTGTCAGCTACAAAAGCAAACATGATAAATGTTAAGGCAGTTTTGAGCCGTGGGATAAGCTATTCAGTGCACAAGCATAGCTGAATCTCTTTGCTATGTTGTTATTCATGGCAGCCAAATAAATGTCAATAATAAAAGAGAATTAAAGATTTTCATTTCCCAGAGGCAGTCCTCTAATACAGCTTGATCTTTCATTTCATTTGTAATTCGTTCTCATGTCAGGATGCAATCATTTGCCAGGCTCTCTGTGTCATGTTAAGTCATTTAATAATGATTAAGAACATAAAAATGTTTGGCCTGTGGGGCAATTCTCAGAAGAGATACCAATTTGTTATTGTTTTGCCCCTTTTCCTTTCCTTTGGTGTGGACCATGTTTTTCCCACCTCCTCACATTAAAATAATACTGAAAGAAAGAAAAGGTGTCCCTTAATTTAGCATATGATGATAGCACAGAATGGCATAGAGTGCTGCTAACACACTTATTTCAAAACTAACTAGGTCTAGGTTTCAAACCTGCAGTGGAAAGTATAAAAGTTATTAATTGATCTTTAAAAGAATAACTACATTTAGGAATTACCAGTATAAAATTATTTTCTTTTTTCTAATGCTGGAGAGTACAGTTTTTGAAAAAGCAGGCTGTGTGTACTTGTTCATCTTGCCTTTCTGAGGAAACTTTAGGTCTCAAAGAACTTGTGCCTAGATTAAAATAGTATTTGCAAAGTCAGCTTTGGATGTGGGTATGCTTGTTCATACCTTCTGCTTTATATTTTGTCCAGGTTATTAATAATAACAACAACATATTTATTATGTTGAACAACATATTTATGCAGACAGACCTCGACAGATTGCAGAGAGACCTTGACAAATTAGAGAAATGGGCAATCACCAACCATATGAAGTTTAACAAGGGCATGTGCTGGATTCTGCACCTGGGATGGGGCAGCCCTGGCTGTGTGTACAGACTGGGCAAGGAGAGGCTGGAGAGAAGTGCTGGGGGTCCTGGCCAATGCAAGGTGAATGTGAGGCAGCAGTGCCCTGGCAGCCGGGAGGGCCAAYCGTGTCTGGACGGGATCAGGCTGCACTCTGTGAAAAGGCACAGCCACTTGGCCACCACCATCCTTCTTTCCGTTCCCCAGCCCCATGCATGGCAAAATAAGACAGGCAGCACAGAGGCTGTGAAAGCATCCTTCACAGAGCTCTGTTCATTCTATCAAAGGCTCTGTTAAGGAAGTTCCAGGACAAGGCAGCCATGGGGCTGRGTTACGAGAGAAAGGTGCACCTCTTTAACGAGTTACGTGTAGATTGAATGAGGATCAGGTTATGGAAATAATAAGGGGAAAAACTTGGATACAGTTCTGTCTGGAAGGAGAGAAARTAAGATGGATAAAAGGGATTGTTGCAGATTACCAAGCCATTCATGAAGRGGCACAGAATGATACCTCCAGAATGACACGGACTCTGTAGGGCAGGGTAGAGGTGTGTGTGATATGAAGAAGGCCAGATACGGCTAGTCTGATAGGGGACTATTTGATGGGGAGAGGRCTGTGGCAACAGTTCTTGATTCCTTGACATGCCAGGGAATGGAAGTATCAACAGGTCAACAGGTTTTTGAGGAGCAGAGCGTAGGGCAGAAAAGCACAGCTTATTACCAAAAAGAAAGATTGACCAAGCAGTTTGGAGAGTATAGTTCTTGCAGATGAGAGAGAGCTTAGACTGAGACAGCTGAAAAAACATCCTCCTCCACAAATCTGGCCTGGCCATACTGCAGAGATGTTCAGTCATCTCATGAATTGCTGCAATTTATACAACATTGTTTTAATACCAACCAAAAACACTGGTGGCTCACCTCAAACAGACCACGATCTGTAGCCACTCAGGTCCGGAGTGACTGACAGCTTAGAGGTCCATACAGCTGGAGAAAATCATRGAAACAGTGAGAAGCAAAAACTGCATCAGCAGTCTCAATCTAAGCCATTCCCATTTGTCAGTCCACTTTCTTTGGCTGTCGGAATTATTTGTGTTTTCAGAGGAAAAATTTCTCTGTCTTTATCATGGAGCRCATTGGGTCCTTCTGCTGTCTGTTCAGATCTGCTCCGTCACAGTACTCCAGCCCCAAGGCCCCTTTTCTCTCCCCTTCCTTCCTGTTCTCTGTCAGTAGGAATAATTGCAAGGAAGAGGCAAGCCTAAATTCAAGCTGAGTGTGATCAGTGTGGTTTAGAGGAAAGGAAAGGAGTGTTTAGGATTGGCATATWGGAGCTGTGGCAGATGAAGTGTTGCCTAAATTAACTGTCACCTTCTCATAAGATTMCACTGAGCACAAGCAAATGATTGTGGTGTGAGGTTTTCCTCTCCATGTCATAGAATCACAGARTGGTTTGAGTTGGAAGGAACCTTTAAAGGTCATCTAGTCCTACCCGCCCACAGTGAGAAAGGTCATCTTCAGCTAGAACAAGTTGCTCAAAGCCTTGTCCAGCCTGACCTTGAATGTTTCCAGGGATGGGAATATGTGCAAACTCTCTGGGCAACCAGAGGTGCATTTTTCGCTGTCAAATTTTATCTTTTTACTGAAAAACTTGAAGGTGTTGGACCTTCTCAGTGACCTTAAGAACGAGCACTGGCAAAAAGATTGTCGTTTTCTCTAGCATTGGTCCCTAACACRACTGAATTTTGATAAAATGCTCTTGGAAAAAAACAGCCTGTGAGAGACACCTGTGACAAAACCTTTCAGTGCAGAGGATAATGCTTTGGGAAAGGGACTGATAACTGAAAATGGGATTTATGGACTTGCTCAAAGAAAGTTTATTTGAGGAACAGTGTTGAGTTAATTTCTTACRTGGATGCTGCTCACCTGTCCTGGGAATTACTTGACTATGAAAATTCTGCTCCCATTACCACKGCCTTGTTCCATCATATCCCTGTTACCAGGCCTAAGATGCTGGATTTGACTGAGTTTTGAGGTTTAACTAAGCTTATAGGATACATTKCACAAATCAAGCCCTTTTTTTTCTGTAACCACAAGAAATACATGAGTGGRGAGAGCAGGGGAAGTTGGCAGCAGCTGGAGCTTTTAAGAAATGCACCAAAAATCACGAGCTCTGGCAGGAACATACATGTCATATCTGTATGTGTGCTCTAATGTTTGTCAGAATCAAATGCTGTRAAAGCTATCCCTTTTACAGAGTTGCTCATAACAGTTTTAAACAAATTACTTTTAGTAAGACACATTTTGTGACAGGTCTTGGCCCAAATCTTCAGAAAGTCCRAGCAAAATCAGCTCAGCAATGGAAAATGCTTTTATATTGAAATATTTGCATAATTCAAGAACAGCTGAAGCTACAAACTTTAAACTTGGCTTGTTTTATAGCTTTAATAGAGGAAAGAAAAACAATCCAAATTTGAAGAAAATCACTTCARCATTTTTCAAGTTATGAATGATGAAATCTGGCATGTTCAGGGGTGAACACAGAATTTTCCATTCTTTTTTCCCCCCAGTGTTTGCAGGACCACCTCTATTTAAGGGCATGTTTGTAATAACCTCATTTGCTAGAAYATGGCAGTAAAAATGGATTTTTCTRAGGATTCAAGCATTAAAGCCAACTCAGGTCAAGCTTACTAACCA